AAGTACTCACGGGAACAGTGTACTTTCCAGTGTAGTTTGGATTGGCGATGTCGTAGAGTTCACGGACAGTCTTGGCATTGTTTATGGTGTCAGGCTGAGCACCAGGTTCCTCGTTGTCAGAGGAAGGAAACGTCCATCCAAAGTGACTCTCGCCTTCTTTGGTTCTCTCCCACTTTGGTTTTGTGGACTACACGTTACGAGAGAAAGGTGTGAAGATCATCCTCAAGAAAACAAAAGAAGAAGCTTCTAGCACTTAGAATTGTCCAAAGCAACAAGGATACACGCCAACCATATGAAGCACAAGAATCGAAGAAAACAACACTTAGTTGTCACAAACAAACCATATGAAACACAGGAAATCAAAGAAAACGCTAGCTTCATGCAAGCGCGAGAAAGCTTCTTAACTTCCAAAAGAAAGACGGAAATTTCTTTGACATACCTGTTACACGACACACCCTCGCCACGTGTCCATTAGGGTTTTCCTGTTCTGTCCGCTAGCGCGGTGCGCTTTGATCCCGATTTGTCTCATGGTATCGGAGCTGGGATAGCGCTATGGAAGGAAAGCCATCCATCCGCGAGTTTGATGGAGAAGGGTTTGAGGGATTCAAGATCCATCTTGAATCCTATCTCTTGTTTCATGGTTTGTTGGGGATTGTAGATGGGACAGAGTCATCACCGGCTCCAGGCTCTAGCACTGCTGAGGTGCGTGATTGGAACCTTCGGGATTCCAAGGCTAGAGGGAGTATTGTGATGTGCTTGTCCTCAAATGTTCTCTTTGCTGCCCCATCAATTCCAAAGTCCACTGCGGCAGAGCTTTGGAAGTGGCTGAGTGACACTTATGGCACCAAGAGTGAAATGGATGTCTTCAACATCCATTCACAAATGGATTCCTTGAGGCTAGAGGAAAATGGCAGTATCCAGACTCACACTGCCAAGCTCCAGGGCTTCTTCACACAACTTGCAGCTGCTGGGGCGAAGCACTGTCTCACGGATGAGCAGCAGAGGCTGCGGCTCTACAGGTCCTTGCCAGCGAGCTGGAAGAATGCAGTTGAGAGCCTGCTTCTCCAACCAGGGATGACTTGGGCAGATGCCGTGAGGAGTCTTCGCAACATTGAGGCCATGCGAAGCGAGAGAGCTGAAATGCCACAGGCTATGTATGCTTCGCAGGCTTCTGGTGATGCCCAGGTGGCAAAACCGCATGCAGCTGCAAATGCCCAGAAAGGGCAAAATTCCGTGGCATCTGGGCGTGCCAAGCCCAGACTTGCTAAGAATCAGTGTGCTCGCTGCTTGGAGATGGGCCACTGGGCTCGAGATTGCCCTGCTCCCAAGCCTGTCAAGCGACTAGCTACGTTGGCGAAAGCTAATTTGCTTGAGCGTGATGGAATTGCTACTGCAAATGAGGCTGTTGAGGAGCTCTACAACGCAGAGGCAATTGCTGCACCAAGCCGGTGGCTCTTAGACTCTGGTTGTACTAATCTTATGAGCAATAAGAAGAGTCTTTTTGAGTGTTATCAGCCGAGCATTGGAAAACGTGGTGTTCATTTAGGTGACAATACCACCATCCCTGTGGACGGCATCGGGCAATTCCGGCTCTCACTCGATCATGGGAGGACCATGGCTTTTGATGGTGCCATGCATGTTTCCACCCTACGACGAAACTTAATGTCCGTCGCCAAGATATGTGATCAAAATGCGGTGGTAGTCTTTGATGCAAAGGGAGTCTCTTTAGTTGACTCTAGCGACTTTCATATGCTTGGTACACAGTTGCTTCGTGGGTCACGCATTGGGGACTTGTATGAGATTACTGCTGTCGACCCAGTTCAGGCCTTTCAGACTGTGGAGGCAGATTCTCGTGCGGAGCTTTGGCATAAAAGACTCGGTCATGTTCATTACCAATCTCTTCAACGGATGAAATCCCAAGATATTGTTACTGGATTGGATTTCCGACGTATCCCATCTACATTTTGTGAAGCTTGTGTTTTAGGCAAGCATCACCGCCGGAATTTCTCACCGAGTAAGCATCGAGCACTTGGACTTCTGGACTTAGTCCATTCTGATCTTTGCGGCCCCATGGACGTGCCAAGTCACGATGGCGCAAGATATTTCATCACATTCATTGATGACTATAGCCGTCGAACATGCATCCACTTCTTGATGCGTAAGAGTGATGCAGTTGCTGCCTTTCAAACGTACAAGGCATACGTTGAAAACCTCCTTGGTCGAAAGATAAAAGCTCTTCGAGTTGATGGTGGTGGTGAATACCTCAACAATGAGCTTCGGGGCATTTGTCGTGATGTAGGCATACAACTGCAAGCTACAGCCCGCTACACCCCCCAGCAAAATGGTGTTGCAGAAAGAAAGAATCGTACTCTTGTCAATGCTGCTCGTGCTTTGTTAGCCGATGCACATCTTGACAAGATGTTTTGGCAAGAGGCCATAGCCACAGCAATGCATGTACAAAATCGCCTTGCCACGGCTGCTTTGGATGGAAAAACCCCTGAGGCATTTTGGACAGGTTCTACTCCTGATGTGTCCCACTTTCGGGTCTTTGGTTGTGCAGCATACGCACATACCCCTGATCAACTTCGGAAAAAGCTAGATCCCAAGAGTAAAAAATTCATCTTCGTGGGATATGCACAAGACGACACTATCGGGAGAAAAGCTTACAAGTTGTGGGATCTCGCATCTCACAAGGCTCTTGTAAGCACAGATGTCATGTTCAATGAAGATGACTTTCCCATGCGTACAGAGGCTCTTCAAGATCCTTCTTTTATTGCTGAGACTCGACTTGTTCCTTTGATCCCACTTATGGGAGATGGTCCACTCTTGCCTCCGCCTCAAGATCCTCTTCATGAGTTGCCACCAGAGATTCCATTGGGGAATCCTCCACTTCTGGACATGCTTGAACCAGCTGATGCTCCTCTAGTTGAGGACAGGCCTCCGACACCTCCACCACCTTGTCGACGTCGTGGCATGCCTGATCCGATGCCAGTTCTTGATCACCCCCAGGAACGTCGGCCCTCGTTAAAAGTCCGGGAAAATGCTGAAGCAGATGCTGCAGAGCTTGATGACTTTTATGGCTTTGTTGACATCGGCATCCCCATGACCTATGATGAGGCCATCTCAGGACCTGAGGCTTCATCTTGGATGGAAGCTATTGCGGAAGAAGTTTCTTCCATTCGGGCTAACGGAACTTATGTTCCAGTTGATTCAGCACCACCGGGACGACGTGTTTTGGATCCAAAATGGATTTTCTCCAAAAAGTATGGGAAAGATGGCCAGGTTGTACGTTATAAGGCACGGTTGGTTGTTCGCGGTTTTCGCCAAGTCCATGGCCTTGACTACGATGAAACATTCTCACCGGTTGTAAAAATGGCCAGCCTCCGTACTCTTTTTGCCCTTGCGGCTGCTCGCAAATGGCCAGTCCACCATATGGATGTCAAAACTGCATTTCTGAATGGGGATTTGCAAGAGGACATCTATATGCATATACCTCCTGGTTTTGAGGACGATGTTGCCCCTGGTGGCCCTATATGGCAATTGCGGAAAGCTTTGTATGGCTTAAAACAGAGCTCCCGTATTTGGTATCAAAAATTTGATGCCACCCTACGTGCTCAAGGCTTTCGTCGCTGTCATGCTGATCACAATGTGTATGTCAATGGTCATGCTGAGTGCATGGTTATTGTGGCCCTCTACGTTGATGATTTGCTCATCATGGGTGATGACAACGATGCCATTGCTGCTCTGAAAGATGCCCTCAGCCAGCAATTCCAGATGAAGGACCTTGGCCGAGTCTCCTACTTTCTTGGCTTTGAAGTCACACGTGACCCTGATTCTGGTGGCTACATGCTTAGCCAACGCCGTAAAGTCGAAGTCTTGCTGGATCGGTTTGGTATGCGTGATTGCCACCCCGTCAAGACCCCGATGGTCGTTGGCGCTATCGACCTCACAGTTGAGCAGTCTGGTGAGCCTCTACCCACTGGGACTCCCTATCGGCATCTCATTGGTTGCCTCACATATTTGGCCCTAATGACTCGCCCCGACATCACATATGCGACTATTGCCTTGAGTCAGTACAACACATCACCAACCACCATACATTGGCAAGCTGCCAAGCGTATTGTAAGATACCTCCGGGGCACTATGGACTATGGCATTGCTTATTCAGGGGGTGATGCATCATTAGCATGCTACACGGATGCTAGTTTTGCCAACAACAAAGGTCATCGCTCGACTTCTGGCATTTGCCTTTCCTTCTCAGGAGGTGCCATCACGTGGGCCTCCAAGCGACAATCTGTGGTGGCCCTTTCTAGTGCAGAAGCGGAGTACATCGCACTCACTACTGGTAGCAGGGACGTGGTCTGGGCTCGAGGGTTACTTGCCGAGCTGGGATGTGCACAAGATGGCCCCACTACTTCTTGGTGTGACAACCGAAGCAGCATTGCCATGTCCAAGAACCCCGTCCACCATGCCCGCTCGAAGCACATTGAAGTCCAATTTCACTACGTGCGTGAGTTGGTTGACGGTGGCACCCTCGCCGTCCAACATCTCGGGACACAGGATATGCCAGCCGATCTTCTCACTAAGCCGTTGGGGCCACACCAGTTTCAGCTCCTACGTGACAGATTTGGTTTGGTGAGTGGCTTCGGTTTGGGGGGGAGTGTTACACGACACACCCTCGCCACGTGTCCATTAGGGTTTTCCTGTTCTGTCCGCTAGCGCGGTGCGCTTTGATCCCGATTTGTCTCAATACCGTGACGCCAATAGCATGGTCTAAGCCCTTGAGCTTGAGCGTAGCGAAGCACCGGGAAGCCCAGGGACACGCATACGAGATGTAGAGATGGTACCTATCGGCCATGGCCGGAATATCACGCCCAGCGATGGCGATGGCGTCTCCCGGCGTGGAATCTGGGAAGCACGAGCTTGTATTCCACGCTCATGGGTATGTTCTTGCGAAATGTAGGTGGATTGAGCTGGAGACATGGATTTTCTATCTCCAGACAAGCATGCGCCCATTCCCGACGATATTTTGCGAATTTTGGAGAAGAGAATGATCTCTATTGAAGACCGCCATGCCTGCCTTTCCAAAGCGCTTCTAGAGGTTAAGTGTAGATTCGGATTTCGTCCTTGAAAATGCGATCGTGAATGATTTCAGCCTGGGATTGCGTCAGACGAGCTCATCAAGATGAACAAGGAGCTTCGCAAGCTGGATTACTCCGTGGATATGATCAAGGCGCTGAGAGCCAAAGAAAAGGTTTGACGTCGAAAGTTTGGAAAAAGAAGACTCTTTGGTTGAATGCAGGAAGTAATTGGCTTGAAAGAATTGGTAAAAGAGTCCGTTGAAGACGAAGAAATGCGTAGGCTGGCCTCTGGAGAACTTCAAACGGCCACCAGAGAAGTGAGAGATGCTCAGCACGATGTTCTCCTGGAGCTTATTCCTAAGGATGAAGCTGATAGCAGAGGTTATATTCTCGAAGTCAGAGCAGGCAAGTGCAACCCATAAGCTTGATGTTTGATATGTTTTATCTAATTTTTAGGAGCTGGAGGTGACGAAGCGTCAATTTTTGCGTCTGATCTCTTCAAGATGTAGGCACGTCTTTCTGGTTCATGTCGAATGCTTATTGGATTTCTATGAATGCTCTCAGGTATGAGAAATACACTGCAAACAACTCATGGAGGTTTGAAGTTCTGAGCATTACTACCACCGACACCCGAGGTTACAAGGTAACTATCCGGTTCTCCACCGGCGTATCTGAGCTTGTCTTTATAGGAGGCTAGTGCTGTAATATCTGGAGATGGTGTTTATGGAGCTCTGAAGTTCGAAAGTGGCGTTCATCGCGTCCAGGTACGAAAGTAATTACCGTGGTTTCATTTTTTTTATATGCATCCGTGTGCAGCGTGTTCCTGTCACTGAGAAGGCTGGGCGTATACACACAAGTACTGCGTCAGTCGCTATTCTTCCCGAAGCGAATGAGGTTCACTCCAGGTTTACTAAATCTTTGCACTTGCATAGACCATTGATACATGTTTTTTTTCTCTCGTTTTTCTGTTGCTGAAGTTTGACTATGCTGACAGGTTGATGTCGAGATCCGTAATGACGAGATAAAGATAGACACTTACCGAGCTGGTGGAGCCGGTGGACAGCATGTAAATACTACCTGCAGCGCAGTCCGAGTTACTCACGCTCCAACAGGTATCGTGGTCGCAATCCAAGACGAACGCTCTCAACACAAGGTAGGCCCTTCAACACCCGTGCTTTGCTACAACTGAGTTGAGATTGTATAGAACAAAGCAAAAGCTTTGAGTATTTTATATGCTAGGCTGTACGAGCTCGAGCGGTCCCGAGCAGCGGCAAGTCGGTCTGAATTACGACAAGATCAGGTAATTCAGTTTATTGTCGCAGAACGTTATTTTTTCTATTTTTATAAATTGTCACTCCAGATCGGCTCAAGCGACAGATCGGAGCGCATAAGAACGTATAACTTTCCCCAAGGTCGGGTAACTGATCATCAAGTGGGAGTGACGCAACACGCGATTGAGCAAATTATGGAGGGGATTGGTCTGGAAATTTTTGTGAATGTGCTCAAGATGCAGCACGAAGCGAGCGCTTTGGCGTCGCTCAAATCTGCAGCAGCTTGACTACCCATAAGTTTCACTGTTTTTTTTTCTTCCTATGTTTTTTTTACCGTGTCAGATGTTGACAATTGGAAGCATTTGTTTGAACGTCAGGTGAGTGTTCTATTATAAATGGCAACAGCACTGACTTGTTTCCATGCACAGGACCGTCATCGGATCAATGTGCGTGGACGGCACGAAGCTGATCATGTAGGCCTCTTTCGTACGACGATGTGAGCTAAAAAATGGAGTGGGGGAAGTCAGAGGTGCCAGGCCACCTACTTAAACGTTTCTCCTGAAAGAATCAACATCTTGGTCAGTAGCAGAGGAGGATGGTTCATGAAATGACGGCTGCCGATGGGACGCTACGGGTGGTTTCTTTTCCTTGGTGCATTAAGTTCCGGAGCGTTTGCAAGAATCTCTTGAAGCGGATGAAACTCATCGGTAGAAGGTCGTCAACTCGTGGGGTGCTGGTGAAGAGGAGCAGCAACAAGCACAGGATCAGTTGGACAGCGAGCTTTGCATACAGGCAGCAGCAGAAGCAAAAGCTCAAGAAGTCGGGAAGCAGTTTATGGTCGTTTAGTGGCTACAGCAAACTCAAGAACAGTGATAGCTGCACGGAAGCTTTAGATGGCCAGGAAGTCATCCACCGCAACTTAGAGGACTCTCAGGCTTCGTCCAGCAGCTTCTCGTTCAAGAATGATGCGGAGGACCTTGGGCATGGCAAAGGCAAGAAGATTTTGTCACCGCATCCTGGCGTGCAGCGCAGTGAGGCTATGAAGCTCAAATCGAGGTGGGACGAAGTGGTGGAGATGGTTGTAGCGGACAGCTTTGATGATTTGGTGGACTTGGAGGAATTTCTGGGCTACTATATGCTGAGAAAAAAGTACCAGTCACTGAAAGTTTCACCTCAGGAATCCACCTCTTTTGGTTTAAGCTTAATTTCGCCACAACCAGCTTGCTCTTGCTGCTCCGCCCAGCACGAGTTTGTGCTAGCCCGCACGACAAAAACAAAATAGATTTTGCCCTTGTTGTAAACTCTGTATGGATCAGCAGGAAATCTGATCCAGACGATAATCTTGTTGTGGGCTAGTGACATGGTCTAAAGTCTCTTCCGTACTAAAGCCTTAAAAAGCTTTTCACAGAAGTTTAAGTAAAACAGATGGATTTTGCAGGCTTGCGCAGATTTTACTCATAAAATACATTCCAACAAATATTCTATACCGTATCAGAATATTTGTTTGAATGTATAGTATATTTTCATCGCCCTTAACAGCATACCTAGATTATTTGGTAGTCAGCAAGAATGAGAGACGTGTTGGTCAAGGACATCCATCATCTCCAAGACTATCCAGTCTTTGGTTCACAGACATCGGCTTTTGTTACGTTTGGGAGCGTGGGGGAGCTCATGGCCTTTTTGCGACAGCAGCACCCGCTCTGCCCACACGGCTGCGATAGCTCGGCACTCACCAAGTTTGACTATTTCGAAAACCACATGCTGATCCAGCCGCGCTACAAGTGCACGGTGTGCAAACGGCACTTCACCCTGGGTGGCACAATACGAGCGAAACGAGCCAAGAAAGAAGATGGCGGTCGTCCAAGGAAGAGACCCAAGAAGGAGCAGCAGCAGAACAAGTCAAGGGGGCAGTGTCTTCCTCGCGAGATGTTGCCTTCGTCAATGATTCCATCGGCCGCAACCAGTGGGAGTCGCGGTTGTGCATCCCCGCGCAGGGCAAGTCGCGGAGCTTCGAGGAGAACGCCGAGGCCATCACCAAGAACTACAGGTCAATGCCCTAGTCAACTCGTGGTCCGGGATCAGTCGTTGCCAGTCAACGCCTGTGACCTCGAGGGATACGTGCAGGACGAGGAGATCTTCCAGGAGGTTGAGAAATTGTGGTGTAAAATGGATTTGGAGGACAAGGGTCCTTCTGTGGAGGACGAGGAGAAGAACTTTCTCAAGGATTTCAATGTCGATGATGGTGATGATCTAGATTTACTACTGGGTCTTGAGGAGTTCAGCGGGGAGTTCAGCGACCAACAGGGCCAGGGCACCCGATTCGATTTGGGCGAGGAGCAAAACAATTTTGCCATGGAGCTGGTGCGGCAAATGGAGGAAGAATTTCCCATCCCAGTAGTAGATGAGGAGAATGATTTCGCCATGGAGTTGGAGCGGGAAATTGAGGAAGCATCTATGACAGCAAAGGAGGAGGCAATGCTTGTATGGAAGGACGAAGTACGTAAAATTCGAAATCAAGACAATCTCACATTCACCACAAATCACATTGGTTTTGGAGGTGCCCAAACTCTTAAATGCTGATCGATCAGCAAAAAATGGATGATAAATGAAAAGTGAATAGAAGTAATTTTGTTTTTGGAACAAGTTCATTACATTATTTGTTATTAGGTGAAGAGTTTTTCGTGAAAAAAGACTCACCCATCCCTTGTGAAAGAAAGAAAAAAAGAAATTAGGGCGAATTAGGTCTCCATAAGGTCGTCCCCGGAGGCAGAGGAGCCGCGATGCTGTGATTGTCAACCGAGCAGGTATTCTGGTGGCACCAATCGCGCCTTCGCCGACAATGCAGCGATCGTCCTAGCGATCGATCGATCGATCGATCGCTCGCTCCGGAGAAGAGCAGAGAAATGATCTGGGCAGGATTCGCGTACGCCGCGGGCGCCGCGATCGGCCACAGCTGCATCGATGCCAGCAGGAAATGGGCGTCCCAGCGCTTCTCGGACCGCGAGCTCGTAGCTCTGGTGGCTCTCCTGGACGCGCTGCTCCTCTCCTCCATGGCGCTCCTCTCCGGCGGCTTCGATCTCTTCTCTTTGACGCGGCTGGACACCGAGTACGTCGCCGCGCTCCTCGTCACCGCGGCGATCAAGGCTCTGGTGGGGTTCATGTACCAGCGTGCTCTCCACGTCTCCCCTCTCTCGGTCACTGTTCCTTATCTAGCTTTCACTCCAGTTCTTCTGGTTTTTACGAGCTATGTGATCATCAACGAGCTCCCGAGCTCGCAGGGGCTCATGGGAATCGTGGTGGTCACTCTCGGCGGCTACTTCCTCGCGCTGGATCACCCGGCGGAGGTGGAGGTGAAGAAATCCGACGAGCCCCCGGGCAAGATCGTCTCGGTTCTTCCTTTGCTTCCTTGGAACTCGTCCAAGGCTTGTGACAAGGTCCCAAAGTTTTCCACCGATGGCGATGGTGTCGTGTTGGATCTCAGTGAGAAGAACTCCCCTCCGGTGGCGATTCCTGGAGGGAATTCTTCCTGGTGGCCACAGATTCAATGGTAAAGATTTCTCTCTCTCTCTTTTTTCGCTTTTCCTGTTCTAAAGTTTGCAAAAGGGAAGAGGGGACGCTCCTCATGCTGGGTGTTGCAGCGTTACTGAGCATAAGTAACAGGTTCGTTTTCTCGAGATTCATTTATGGCTTCTTAGCTCCATTGTCTTTGCAGCCTTGACAAAATGGCTGGTCACTTGGCACCATCGCTTCTCAATTTTGCTGCTCTCCAACGAGGCTTTACGGCCGTTCCCGTGGTTTTATACCTACTTGTCACAAGGTTGGCTTGTTTATCTCTCTCAGGTGATAGCTTAGCTGACTCCTGCGTCAATGCTCTTCCGCCGCCACCGCCATCCATCTCCAACACCCCAGGAGCAGCAACACCCCGATCAAACTTCTCGCTCATGCGGCTCCTCACGCCCCGCTCCGCAAGAACAGTGTCTCTTCCATTGCGATTCACGCTATCGTCTTCTTCGTCCGCGTCTCCGTCGTCTTCTTCGTCGACAGGGGCCGCAGCAGTGAGTCCAGATCGTCATCAAAGGTAGAACTTTTCTTTCTTTCTTTCATCGTCAACTTTGTCATCTCGTCTTCGCAGGGCAAGCAGATCAAACGCTCCAAGTCGGCGCTCGATGGTCACCAAAAGGAGAAGAAGCTCACCCGGCTTTACTCCGGAACGTTTCTCGTCAAGCCGACCACTCCTCGTCCTCATCCCCGGGAAACTTCACAAGCAGACGATGGAGCCCAAGACACTGACCATGCCAACGACACCCAAGGTACGTAAGCTTCCTATGATCAAGTTCATGGAAACCATGGTTCCATGATCTGAAAGTTTCAAAACTTTTAGACGGCGAGGACGAGGAGATCCCCGAGGAGGAAGCAGTGTGCCGCATTTGCCTGTGCGATCTGGGCGAGGAGGGCAAGACGCTCAAGCTCGAGTGTAGCTGCAAAGGGGAGCTGGCGCTGGCTCACGAGGAGTGCGCTCTCAAGTGGTTTGGGATCTGAGGCAACCGCGAGTGCGATGTTTGTGGCCAGGAGGTCGTCAATCTCCCCGTCACGCTCGTCAGGCTCCAGCAAAACCAAAACAATATCAACGCTGAAACTCAAGTTCTCCAGCAAGCTCAAATGGCGCAAATGAGTGCTCTCAACAGGTAGATTCGTCTATCTCGCTCTATAGTTTTATAGATTCCATGGTGTTCTTCCAGGATTTGGCATGACGTTCCCGTGCTCGTCATGATCAGCATGCTCACGTACTTTTGCCTCCTCGAGCAGCTACTGGTGATAGTTCTCTGATGATTTCGATTGATTTGCGAAGTTCTTGGATGGATTCTTTGTTGCCTACTACAGGTGAGACGAAAGGGCCCTCGAGCATTGATGCTAGCTCTGCCATTCGCCGTCATGTTTGGAATGCTCACTGCCATCACAGCATCAACGCTTGGTAAGATTTCGTCTCTCTCTCTTTCTCTCGAGCTCCTGTTTGTAACAATAGATTCTTTCGACGCACAGTGAGGCGGCGTTGTATGTGGCTCTTTGCCATCTTCCAGGTCGGTTTTGTCATACTATTTGCGCATGTTTTCTACAGTTGGGTAAGATCACTCTCTTAAAACTTTTTTAGCTCTTATTTCAATCCATGATCCAGATGAAGTTGAACCCAATCTTGTCAATTTCGCTGGCCGGTTTTGCGGGATTCGGATTGTCCATGATCGTGAATGCTCTCCTCCTGGAATGTTGGAGCTGTAGAACAAGAGCAGCGCGACAAGAAGACGCAAGCCAAGATATTGTGTAAATATGTACTGTAATTCTTACACACTTGTTTTGTGATAGAACAAAATGTATGCATCGCTCGAGCACCTCGATAGCTCAAAAATCTCTTCCACCACCTCATCGTCAAAGCTGTACCACTTTCCATTTGGAAGTTTGATGGTTGCCGTGTAGTGCCCATAGTCGGAGTCTCCCATATGGTTAATCAATCCATACAGTTTGTACTCCTGTTCCCAAAGTGTCAAAATCTGTGGAAACTCCACCGTGGTGTCGATCTTCTCCACACTCCCCGAAGAATCGCACTTAAACCTTGCCAAATGGAGGATCAAATTCCGTGGGAGCTTCCCAAGCTCCAGTTTCTTGACAGCGTCCTTTTGGTTTCTCTTGCACTTTGGGCAGTGCCAGGAATCCAAAACATCGTCTTTGGTGTACTCCCGGATGCATGATTCCAGAGAAACCGGCTGCGCCGTCTCATGGACTGGCAGCGAGAGAGAGGTGAAAGATTCAGGCGTGGAGGAGACCATGTTGGAGCACTTCGGGCATTTCACTGTGGATTTGGTTTGGCCCTCGAAGAAATCTGCGACTGGAGAGGGGAGCTCTGGGCGCACCTTTTTTCCTTTAGGAGGATTCTCTTGCTTCTTGAATTCTTGATCCAGGGCACCCAAAAGAAAATCGAGATACTCCTGTGCGTCCTGCTGGACGCTCGGATTTGTCAGCTTTGGCCCTGGTTTTACAGACTTGCTTGCGTTATTCCAAATCGCCCTCACCACTTTCCTAAACTCGATTGCTATCTCACCTCTTACACTGTCTGATTTCAAGAAGAAGCTAGAGAGCTCCGGCGTGTGAGCTGTAAAGCACTGTTGGCTGAACAAGAATTCCCTTGGTTTTGAAAGCCCACAGCCATTTTACTTGCACACAACCCAAAAGAAAACCTAGAATATTTAAAGAAAACAAACAGGAATTAAATAATTAAATAATATATATAAAACAACTGTGAGTGCATGGAATATAGAAAAAAGAATACAGAAATGTGCATATCAATTAGCCCAAAAACTCTAACTTATACACAGGAGCGAGT